TCCCTCCCTCCCTCCCTCCTCCCTCCTTCCTCCTCTCCTCTCTTCCTTCCTTCCTCCCTTCCTTCCTTCCTTCCTCTCTTGCATCTTACATAAAACGTGCTTCCTTCCACTCCACCCACCAGCACACCAACCAGCCACCAAGCGAGACTGTGGGAACATGATTTCTTTCCAGGCAATAGCACGGGCACGTCCCCAAATGTGTTTTGAATGCTAGGGTGGGGATTCTCTTCCCCGGGACATTTCTGCAACTGGCCTTTTGTCCAAAGCTGCCAGCGGGTCTTCAAGAGCAAGTTTGGGGTCGTGGGGCATGGATGGGAAGCCAGCACCCATAGAAACCTGACGAGAACAAGGTGACTTGGCAACAGCAAAGACTAACCTTCTGGGGTGCAGGTGGCTCGTGTGTAACCGATATCCGTGCGTGTCTTTTCTCCCCTTCTGCTGTTGCTCACTCTGAATTCAAATGTTAGGTCTGCAGTGCAGAGACCTGGTCTCTTGAAATTGCCAAGTGCCATGTCACACAGATGAAAGTGTAATCATCGTCGTTAACAGCAGCAGCACCTTTAATAAGCATGCAATATAAAACTAAATTGGAAAGCTCAGAGCATTCCTTGAATGACTGCAGATGTTCAGCTAGACCCCCCTCTGCCCTTTTCTCCTGCAACCTGGTGGCCTGAATGGTCATGTGGCAATGGAGGGGAAGGGAGAAAAGACGTCAGAGGCTTCAGAGAGCAAGTGTCTCTGTTTATTATGGGAATAAAAGCCTTCTGGGCTTCTGTGTTGATAAAACAAGCTGACTTAGGTGGCATCTCCGACTTGTATTTAACTAAAGCTCTTCTCTGTAATTAATGGGGGGATAAATTGTGGCTTAATTACTCACAAAGCACCTTGGGTGAAGGATTCATGGTAATTGTTGTGTATCCCCCTGAAGGATTCACTCTACTGGCAGCAAACTTTCCGAACGATAAAATACTGGCTGAGTGGCAGCCAGCTCTGTAGCATTTTCTGTGCCAGAAATCTGCCAACGGAGAGAGTGAGAGAGAAGGATGGCATTCAGCTTCGGAGTTTGCTCCTTGGTGTGTCTTAGAGAGATTTTTCCCCTCTCCTGCTTTCCAGTGCAGCTTGAATTTGTCATGCCCTCCAGTCTGGCCTAAGCCGTACGGCCTTAGTCCTCGGTTCAGTTCTGCCGGTGCCTTATGGAAACTCTGAGCAGCGTTAACTTGCTCCTCCAATCTTGCTTTCTACTACTTCTGCTGGTTTTTCTCATCTATGTACAGACCCTGTGGGAGTGATTCTGGACGTGCTAAAAAATGTAATCTCTCTCTCCCTCTCTCTGCTTCGTTCCAGAATTAAAGAAGCAAGTGGAGAGTGCTGAGTTGAAAAACCAGCGTTTAATGGAAGTCTTCCGAACAAAGATTCAGGAGTTCCGCACAGCGTGTTATAAACTGACCGGCTACCAGATTGATATAACAACCGAGAATCAATACCGCCTCACTTCCGTCTATGCCGAGCACAGAGAAGACTGTTTGATCTTCAAGGCAAGTTATTTTCCTGTTCCCCTACACATACAAACATAACATGTCTGAGAATATGGACAAGTGTGAACATCAACAGTATGTTCCTTAGGGCCTTTGGGTGACTTGCTCAACCAATACCAACAAACACATTCGCACGTGCACAGACATGTGTCTACTTAGGAAGTTAATGACAAGATATCCTTCAAGAAAAGGCTTTGGGTTACCTGATGTCTCTCCGTTTTTCTTTTTGACTGAATAGAGCAGTGTTTCTCAACTTTGGCAACTTGAAGATGTGTGGACTTCAACTCCAAGAATTCCCCAGCCAACATGGCTGGCTGGGGAATACTGGGAGTTGAAATCCACACATCTTCAAGCTGCCAAGGTTGAGAAACACTGGAATAGAAGGTTGAGGGTACCACTGGTTCTGAAGCTAAGCAGGCCAGGGAGGTTTATAGACAAGGAATCGTGGTTTCAGCACTGGCCTCCGTTCAAGCCATCACATTTCTTCCTGTTAGGAAGTTAAACAAGTTAGAAGCATCTGTTTTCTTGTTTTATACATTGGAAGACAGCAAGGTCTAAAAGAAAAAGTCCCTTTCCACCAGTCCTGGGGTGGGCCCCAACATGAGAACCGTCAGACCAACAGTAGAAACACCACGCAACTGGGATATGTGCTCCAGCTACGAAATTTGCACCTTCAAATTGTCTGATCCTTTCCCAAGCACTGGTAGCTTTTGTTTATGGGAAGATGCGTCCTAACAGGGAAAAGAGGTGCGCATTGGGGCTGTCCCTAGTCAGCCTGAATTCTGCATAGTTCACTCTGCTGTAAACGTGTTAACGAATTGCCAGTTCTAGGAAGGGGATCGTTGTGTTGACGGTTTCTTCTGAGCAAACAATAGCCCAATGCTAACGTCTTCCATTAGTACTTCTGTTCTTTGCCAGACAAGCTGCCTTTTTGGAAAGCAAGGAATTCTTTGGCATATTAAGTCCCATTTATTCTCGCTGGGGCCTGAGCTGGGCTCAGACGTTTTCCCCATCCCTCAAAAAGTGGGTTGATTCATGAGCTTCTCCTTCTTAACATGCCATTTGATAGCTCACTTACTAAGGAAATTTATAAATATTTACTCCTTCGAGACTAAGCTGCCACCTTCCTGAATAACTGCCAAGCTATTAATGTCTTTCTTTGCCAGCCTTTCCTTTGGGTGTTCACTGGTTCATTCTCTCCCTCTTTTTCTCCCTCTTGACAATAAACTCTCGAATCAGAGGACAAGGGCACGTGGTAGGCCTTGTGGTTGCAAGTCATAAGCAAAGGCGATAAGGAGCTGCTGGTTGGATTGTAAATGGTTTTGGGGTGTGGATGCTAAAAGCATTTTGTTCCACCTGCCCAAGCAGGATACAGTTGTTTGGCCCTGCCTGATTCCCAAACCAAAACAGCAGCAGGCACTTGTCTTTGCTGGATCTCCACTCTTGCTTTTCCAAAAAATATCCTGCATTGGTTAAAAAGCATTTTGGAGCCCTTGTTATCATGATGCTAAAGGTCCATTGGGGTTAAATTTGTGGTCCAAAGCCAGGACATGATTTAATCAAAAATTAAATCACAAAACGCCATCTCCATCTCCCCCAACCATCTGGTTTTCGTTAGAAAGACTGAGCAGTAGGACCTTGTAACAAAAGGTAAGTAATAAAGATCCTGCAACCTTTAATTTGGATCAGAATCGTAGGGAGCAGAATTCGTATGAATTCACATAATGATGTTTGGGCTTTGATTCGGTCCTCTTGTATTTGCGGTTTAAGCACACTCACGTGCAGCTGGCTGATCGTTTATTTGGATTCGGCCCAATCTAGCATAACCATTAGCAGAAACAAAATGGCTGATAGTCCATGTATGCCTAACGTTAAAAAACAAAACCCGGACAACAGCAACAACAAAACTCCTTGTCAGGATGGTAGAACTACAGGCTCAAAATATAGCAACATCAACAACAGATTCGAAATTATTCATGTTGCAGTAACTTTTGCAAAAACCCATGTAAGCAAGCATCTGAGGAGAAAATGTTCAACCATAAGAGTTGGAATAGAAAGGTCCATGAGTGGCTGTGATTCCTGCAGACTTATAAGCTGCCTCTCTGTAATGGCATGTGGGAATGACCTTGGGAGACAGAAGGAAGAGCTGCAGCCTAGACAACAGTCTGATAAACGAAATTTGGGCCTGAGGGAAGTCAGTGGCAGAAAATGAAAAGATTGCTGGTAGTCATGATTGAAAATCTATTTATTTAAACAACAGTTACAAACAAGCCATGACATTTATGTTAAACAGTTCATCACAATCATAAAACCCACATCAGCCTCAGAGCTCATTTAACCTGGTCCAAACGCCCAAGGAAAAAGCCAGATCTTCAGAGCTTACAAAAGGCTAAGAGGGTTGGGGCCCGCTGCTACAGAGAAGGCATGACTGCTGGGTCCAACAAGATGACATTGTTTGATAGAGGGGACCCAGCGCTTACATGGATGATAGATTTCCAGTTTTTAGTGCTGGAAACAGTCAGTATTCTGGAAACACAATGAAAGGGATAATCTCTTAATATTTTGAACCAGGATATGGAATCCCAGTTAACTGAATCTTGGAGAACCCTAGAGGAAAACCCTAGAGGCTCTTCTAGACACATGTAATATGTTCTCCATGTTGAAAGATGTGGAGGGCTTTTTTGGACTTCTGCTGGCTCACATGCAGTGTGCATGTGCCTCTTTGGTATGGCTCCTTGGCTCTGTTTCTTTAAAAAAAGAAAAGAAACATGATGAAAATTCTCATGTAATACATTTCACCAGGATGTGAGATGCAGATGATTTTGTACAAAGTAATATATTAGAATTATCCTTGGTTTTGGCACATATAGTCGATTACTGTTGCTGGTTCATTAAAGGTCTTAGTTGGTTATAGATATTTCTTTTATTTATGTAAGTGACTGTACCATCGACGCAGATCATTGATCAATACAGAGGCTCTGCTTATTAACTTACATTTGAAGTATTTCATTTCCCCATAAGTCAAGTTGGATAACTTGAGTCTTCTAAATACCATTACTAAAGAAAAGATGGCATTCAGCAGTAGGACTTGGCAGAACGTTTGCACCATATAGGAACTGAAAATCAGAATGCAGATGGGGGATGGTCTGGGCAGGATGGTTTCACCCATAAATAGCACGTTGGAGAAAAGAGGCAATTAAGATTTTCGCCAAATCTGCAGATCGTCTCTTTGAAGGGATGCTCTTAAGTAGGGGAGAATTAAAACATTTGTTTTCTCCCTCCTGCAGTTTAACATGGTCCTCATTTTGCTGGTTCATTTTGCTCAAGTCTAGGTCAATCTGAAGTGCTGTGAGGATTGGAAGTGGTTTTCAGGCACCCACATTTTCTTCTCTCCCCACTCCTATTCCTTGCTCTGATGAACATCCATGAGCTGAAGTCACATACCCAGTCTTTCTATAGAGCTGTGTTGAATCAGCTGACCCCTTTTGTTAATTTATTAGCAAGGTGTCCCCCCTTTTCTTTTTAAGAATTAGTGTAACCTCCCTCTTAAAAGAAGCATTCCACTTTCTCATTTTCACAAGAAGGATGCCTCTTCCAGAATGGCAGCTGTTAAGATAGGCATCATTAAAAAAAAAAATTGCATAATCTTTTTCAAAACCATTGCCTATCAAGTACAGATTTACACTGCAGTCCTACGCAATTTGGCTTGGAAATATAGCCTGTTGAATTTGGAGAAGCTTATTCCCACATTAGCGAGCTTCAAATTGCAGACTTTATTGCTGAAAACTAATTTGATTAATCAGCTAAGTTTCTTTCATTATGTGATGGCCTTCTTTGTTTTCACATACTAAACCATCTTTAGTTCCAGGGAAGGAACTAAAGTGTCCAGGTTTTCTTTAAGAAAGGAGGTCGAGGTTGAGATGTTTTGATTATATTTGCCTGCTCAGCTGGGTAAATCCTAAGCAGAGAAATCAGAGGAAATCTTTAGGATGCTGAGGAATGAACTGGGAAAAGTAATTTAAAGAAATATTGGACTGCATAGTATAGAGAGGAGGTAAATTGGAGAGTTGAGAAAGCCTACAAAATAATCAGTGGTACAGAGACAATAAATCATGAAATCTTATTTATCTTTTTTCCTATTATCACAGGTAGGAGATAGTCAGAGGGATGGAAATGTAATAAATGTATACTTCAAGGAAAGGAGTTAGAGAGGATTAGGAGGGTAATATAACCTATCTAGTATTTCCACTATGCACCTGTGGGCTCATGTGCTTCCAAAAATGTGTATGGACTAATGAGAATATTTACCTAGGGAAAATATAAATACGTTGCTTAATGCAAGAAAAGATAACGGTATTTATAAGATAAAAATATATATTTGTCCATAGTGACCCTGGCAGTTGGATTATATCTGGATCTTGAATGATAAGCAGTCCGGGAATGTAGAGGATCTGGTGTAGAAAGGAACTAAGGAATCTAGTGTGGTTCATGTGGTGGGCAGGTAACATCTAAAACCTTTGGATGAGCAAGGAGTAATAGAATTATTGGGATCCTGGCCTTCTACTTGGTCAGTTAAGCCTTGGCTTGGTCAACCTTTGTCATGCTTTAGCTTCAGGTCCAACTTCCAGCGATTAAAAGTGGAGAGTCCATGCTGGAAAGACTATCTCTGTTTGTGATTGGCTGCTGGTGACCTATATTAGCTCGGCTAGATTCTCAACTCTGATGGATTTTGGTGAAACCTCCCAGTTGCTTCATGCTTGAGCTTCTGATTACTTTTAAGTATTCACTTTTTATTCTGTGGAAAGCTTGTGGAAACTTGTTGCAATCAGCCTTGAACACTGGTTAGATATCTTCATGAAGTAGTCACTGGGACCTTTGCACACAGAGAGGAGGACTTGTTGAGAAGTAATGATTCACACACTGATCTGTGTTTGGTTTTGTTGTTCTGTTGGCTGTTGTGTGTTCTCACCAAGCTAATGCAGTTACCTGATTTTTGATCT